CATTGAAAAGACGTTGAACTAATGTTGCTGTCTCTTATACACATCTAGATGTGTATAAGAGACAGGTTTTCATCAACGTAAATTTCAACGTTGATTCAACGTCAAATGTCTAAGGTTTTTTCAACGCTAATTTTTCAACGTTGGAACAACGTCAAATGACCAATGTTGAATTAACATTGAATTTTGGTTGTATATGAAAGTTTTAATCAACGTAAAATTTCAACAGTGATTCAACGTCAAATGCCTAAAGTTGTTTCAACGTCAATGTTTAACGTTAAAACAACGTCAAATGATCAATGTTGAATCAGCGTTGAGTTTTAGTTGAATATGAAAGTTTTCATCAACGTAAATTTCAACGTTGATTCAACGTAAAATGTCTAAAGCTGTTTCAACATCAATTATTTAACGTTATAATAATGTCAAACGATCAATGTTGAATCAATGTTGAATTTTGGTTGTGAATGAAAGTTTGCATCAACGTAAATTTCAACGTCGATTCAATGTAGTATGTTCAATGTTTAATTCAATGTAAAATGTTCAATGTTGAGTCAATGTCAATGTTTAATCCTTTAAACTTACAAAATACACTGAGTTCAAAATATACTTGACCATTTTTCTTTAATTGAAACTTGCAGAAAACATAAAATAGTATGCATTGTACTATACAGGCATGTTTAAATCAATAATATAACAACAGCTACTATGTCTAGATTTCAAAATATACCTATGCATTACTGTCGTCTTAACTGACCTAATATTGCACACTTAGCTTAATTAAGAATCTTTCGCGTCACAGGATTCGGATTAAATCAGTAACTTTCTTGGTGATAAATTATTTGAAGCTCTACTCCTTAGCCAGGTCTTTTCTTGTCCGACCAGAGGTATTGAAGCAAGGTATCCAAAAACCTTTGTGAAAGATAAAAACAAAACAAAAATATTTGAAACAAAGACTGAAATATTATTTTAAAGTTAATTGTAAGGTAAATTTTAAAAATGTATATACTATACTACATGTAGTATAATTTTAAAAATGAAAATACTATCTACATGTAGATAGTTGAAACAACTGTTCTTCCCAGAGCAATCTACATTGATATACTGCAAGCATTACCAATAATCATGCAAATACTGAAAAATATTCACTATGAACTACAGTACTGCAAACATGGACAGTTAGAGATTTCTGTATAGAGAGTGGCACTTAACCTAATACACATATTCATTCAGTTTTATTACTTTTGATATGCACAATATTCAATTGAATGTTGTGAGAGTACAGTAATTGCCTAGGTTTATAATGGGCTTAAACTCAAACAATTTGACATTTTGCTAAATAATTAGGAACAACATCAAACAACATGTATGGATGGAGAACAAAAGTAAGTTTGAAAAAAACTTTAAGTCACATCTTTCAATAATAGAATGTGTTTTTTTTTCAAAGATTTAAATACATTTTTCTTTAAGGGCAACTCAGACAGCATCATACTACGAAGTTAGGTGCCATTTATCGTTGAAGAATATTAAGTATGTTAAGATAATATTTACGATTTGACTGTCCCCAATTAATTTAAACTTAATAATCGCCTTCGTACGACTATAATCGTCGTAAAACGACGATTAAGACAAATGCTGTTTACTGTTTGTATGACTTCTTAGGGACCCAAGACTTTAATTAAGAAACAAATGGTTATTACTGTGACACAGTAGGGTAGTCACCTATTGCTGTAGGATAGTGGTATTAGCAAATGTGCAGTATATTCTTGCAAAATTTAACAATAAAAATTATATACCTTTTTACTGCTTCATCATGGCTGCTCTTCCATCAGTTTTGTACCAGGAGACAAATAATACACATTCAATAGTCGGTTTCTTCCGAGTGTCTACCACAAACAATATATTGCAACAAACATGGCTTCCTGTCAATGGATTGAAAACCTGAAAGAAATACCATATTATTTATAGTTAGGCCTATACACAAAACTAAATTAGCCCATATCTATTTTTATATTTCTATTATTTATAACACTAACCATCAAAAGATAGGCCTATTGTTAATTTTTCTCTTTATTGACAGAAAATATAAAAATTTACATTATTAACATCTTCAAAAAATAAAAGAAGAAAATGATTACTGATGACATGACAGTGATGAGGCTCCACTGGCAGTATGTAGGCCCATGATATGAGATGAATTATTAAACACACATAATAGGCCTAGGCCTAGCTGTTTTATTTTTGCACTTTGTCCATGCAACCACATTTTAACATTATATTTAATTTAATATAGACCATATTATAGCATTTCAACACAGGACGTGGCCATTTTGCAAAGAAAAGTCTAGGCCTAGGCGATTAAAAATTACCGCTAATAATTTAAACTTAGCCCACACATCGAACTTGCAGTGTAGCCCGAACAAGTAAAATTATGCTAACTATCTATGCCCTTACACTACCCTACAGTACTCTAGTCTAGGCCTAGTCTATTCTACCAGCTAGGGCCAGCGGGCTGGCTGGCCTAAATCTTAGTTAGAACAAAAGATAACCACATAATAATATAAAGCAGGCCTATACAGTTACGATATTGGGCTAGCCTAGATACACCCTGTAATATAGTATACAAATATACAGTTCTTACCATTTATTTGATAATGGTGAAATTCTTTAGTATGTAAACTGTGTATGAAGACAGCTTTACAGCAACTGATACATACTTCAAAACATGAGCATTTGTTTCTGATTGGTCTGTACCTAATGACCTAATCCGATTAGCCCATTACTTGCCACACTTTCAAGGACAGAGAACCAATGTAATTACCATAATGATTAAAGATCATATGCTCTCATAATAGGCCTATGAGTTTTTTTTATACCCCACCATGGAGGTAAACTTTAATAAATCTTGTACAATTATTTCTATGAAATTTCATATCAAGTTGAGGTTGAGTTAAAGAAATTTAAACTTGGTTGAAAAAAATAACATTCTAAATGTTGATTATACGTTAAAATACAAACTACATTTTAATTTGACATTGAAAAGATGTTATTACTGTGATTTTAATATCTCAACCAGTTTTCAACGTTTTTATTGTTAAAATAATGTTGAGTAAATAATGGGTAGGCCTACTTTCAATGTTGATTCTACATTGAAATAAAAACTATATTTAAAGTTAACGTTGGAAAAATATTGAATAAATATATTGCAATTGTTATGTTAAAATCGCACCCCGATTTCAAAGTGAATTCATTGTTGAAATAAAGTTTGGTAAAATCTTAAACTCCGGGTTGAAAACACAACTTATTTTAAATGTTGCTTATACGTTAAAATAAAAACTATATTTTAACTTGACATTGAAAAGATGTTGAACTAATGTTGTTACTAAAATTTTAATATCTCAACCAGTTTTCAACATTTATTTATTGTTGAAACAACGGTGAGTAAATAATGGGTGCTTTGTAGAAACACAACACATTTTCAACGATGATTAACATTGAAATAAAGGCTAGGCCTATATTTAAATTTAGCGTTGGAAAAATGTTGAATAAACAATGCAATTGTTATGTTAAAATGTCAACCAGATATCAAAGTGAATTCAATGTTAAAATAACGTTGAGTAAAAAACTATATATTTTCAACATTTATTTAACGTTGAGAAAACGTTAAATAAACAATAAGTCTTTGGTTGAAAACATAACACATTTTCAACGTTGATTCTACATCGTACAAAGTCCGGTCTGAGCCAGCCGCAAATCTTGGAACGTCACCTTGACGATTATTATCCAAACAGTACACTCCTCTGGGGAGATCTGCCAACCTACCAGTTGTCTAATAAAAGAACACAAACAATGGGTTAAAATGATTTATTGGATAAAATGATTGACATTTCGACAGAGATACTAATATAGATGTGTATAAGAGACAGATCTTATATATATCATATCATATATATCATACCATCATATAATATTATATATATACATATATATAATCCTATATACAGAAAACTTAGTTACAGGTTTGAATATTCAAATGTGAGACACTGTATTTAGAGGGATTTGAACCGGGTTTTAGAAGACATACACCAACTAAACCACAAGGGTTCGATCCTATTCTGCCACTACATGCGTTAATCTAATTTGCTTGTTAAAAGCCAGACCCATAGTCCGTGTTTTCCAAGGAGGATTCTGGTCATGGGTTCCAGAGGCCCCGGGGATGGAGTGCTTAGATAAAAAAAAATACATTTTGCACTTTCAATTAAGGATGATATTTCAATAATTATCATACATACAGAAGAAAAACAAAATGAACATGCATTCGAGGATCATAAGAACTGTTACACTTTTACAATGAACTTTTACAAAATATCCAGTGGTGTAAAAGTATAATATCTCAATACGCCTCAAACCACCAGGCTGTCGGTTTCTTCTTTAAGGCACCATCGATCTTGATTTAGAGATTACAAAAATAAACACTTAAGGCACTGCCCGGATTCGAACCGGGGATCTCCTGTTTACTAGACAGGCGCTTTAACCAACTAAGCCACAGCGCCACTTGGTATCTGCGCATGATTACATTATATTGAGTCCGCGTATTCACTCTTAAAGCTTTTGGAAGTATGCAGTATTGTTAAGCTCACATTATAAAGCAAATAAAACCGTACCTCCTTCTCTGCATGTTTTTCTATGTTATTTTGAATCGGGGAAAATAAATATATTGACGAGCGTCTTGTATCACATTGCCATTAACATTTATTGTAAAGCTCAGTCCTCTCTATCAAATTCTATGTGACAAATTTGTGTGATGTGCCCATATATTATGGGCTTTGTCATTGTATTTTTACTCATTACGTCATATCTTTAAATAGATTACGTTGTGACCACATTTCCATATGCAAGAAAGGTTATAATATTTAGATTGAAAACAAAGCTCATTGTGAATTAAAGGTAATATAAAACTATTATATAATATAGCAACAAAAATATAGGCACTGCCCGGATTCGAACCGGGGATCTCCTGTTTACTAGACAGGCGCTTTAACCAACTAAGCCACAGCGCCACTTACTGACCTAACTCTTTTACAATGATAGTTTATGAATGCTGTCTTCACTTGCAAAACTTAAACAAAGAGGTATAATGTATGTTTTACCTCCAAGCCAAAACGACTCAGGGCCGAAATGACCAGTATTTCATACATCCACGCTCATATTAAAGGAAGATGAAGCCATTTTTATTCGAACTTATTTGTCTGACCACCTCATCTGTACAGTACACCGTCTGGACTGCGTATTTTTACTATGAAGAAATATATATTAAGTGTCTTGATCCTGGACTTAGACACATTATCAGGTAAAACGTGGGAGCGTCCGCCGCTTCGGTTGTGTAAAATGGCAATGTCAACAAATTTTGCAGTGGCGGATCCAGGAATTTGAATTAGCGGGGACAGAGGGAAGGACTTTCATAGGTGGGGGTCTAGGCTACCTGAGCCCCACCATTGTCTGGGGCTGATGTAAGAAAATTTATGATTATGGCACCTAGATGCCCGAAAACGTCAATCTCAGACTAAAATTTGAATACAATTTTCTTTTTTATCTCAATTTTAGGGGCCGACCGGCTGGGCTCACTTGAATCCTCCACTGTTTGGATAACTTACAAAAATAGATAGAGACCATTTTATATGATACAGGTGTAAACTGGACAAAAGACAAATGTTTATGTTATTTATGTGTGAGGCACACGTCACAATATTCACTTAATTAAACATTGTCATTTGGCATACAGGTTAGAATCTCGAAGTGTGTGTAAAAGAGGTTTTATGTTTCCAAAACAAAACACAAATCTTTTCCTCATTAACATAATGAGAAGTGATGTTAAAATTACAACAAAAATAAACATAATTCAAAAAGTATATATTAAAAAGTACATTAAATACAATAACGAGAGTGATATTGAGAGATCTTACCATGACGTTTAAGAACCCCAAAAATAAAATGAACATGAAAACCAATTTTTGACGTCAGTGAGACTCGAACTTATGGCTGCAATATACTGAGTTCTTACCATGACGCTAAAGAATTGTAATACCGATGTCAAGTAGGGCCGAGTCATTTTTAAAATATAGACCCTCAAACTTGAGGGGTTTTTGGGTCCGCGCAAGGCGGACCCCAGAACCTCACTGCTGTTCTTGTTATTACCAGATTTTTAACGAACGTGCAGGAATTGTTGTACACATAAACTAAAGGTTATTTCCAACAAACGTTCATGGCCTTTCTTTTAAGTTTAAACCCAGGGTGTCCCCTACACCTACAAAGCAAACCAGGGGATTCAGCAAGGACTGTACATTATTGAAATTACCATTAATAGGGCACGTCACATGGATGGTGCGGTCGGTTAAGGATGTGTTCTAAAGAACCAAAAGTCGTGAATACCCAATAAATAAAGAGATAAATAAACGTAATACTCTGTATGGCGGTAACCTCAGTTTAACGCACTTATCGGTGAGCTGTCGTTCTTGTTTTTATAACGGTCGATGTGCAATTTAGATCAAATTAGGCCTATTAGATGGTTCGTAGGTAGTGTGAAAGACCACAACTGGGTCGAAGACCACAACTGGGTCGAAAACCCCGCTGTCTGTGTATTTAACATAAAATTAATAGTCTGGACATGGCCTGGACAGGGCTAAGACGAAAATGACTTCAATAAATAAAAAATAGAAAAATTATAATTTCTTATTATTATTATTATTATTTTTTTTTTTTATTTATTTTTTTTTTTTTTGTGTCGATTTCAAATTATATTAGGCCTATGTCATATGTGAATGTCATTCATGTATTATTATTTTTATTATTAGGTAGCTTTTGCACTTTTGGCACAACAAAAAAAAGATAACCAGTAATAGGCTATCCTGATTTCCTGCGCATTTGTCGGATACTTAAAGCCCCATTCCCGGCAAAATTTCACTAAAAACTGACTTTTTTTAGAAAATATGCATTTGCATTACTCCAATTTTTATAAATCATGGAAAAATATTGGCATGAATTTTAGTTATGGAAAAATATTGGCATTTTTTAGTTTTACGCAAAAGAATAAAAAAAATGAGAAATACAGACTATTTCTCATAAAATATTACCATTTTCTCGACGAATTCATCGTTACTAGGCAAATTCAGAGGTTGTAGATCGCATCAACTGGAATACTCTCCCTTTTATTTATACTTTATACAGTCAATAAAGTGCGTCCTCTCTAATGAGATTAGTTTTTGTATTTCGCATCTCGCACAATGCGGTCGTTCGATTAGGCTGAGATTTGTTTGTTTAAGTGTCAAAATCTCAGTCAGAATCAGTTTTTTAACAAATTATTCATGTATTATTATTTTTATTATTAGGTAGCTTTTGCACTTTTGGCACATTTTTGGCATTTCAGTCTTATTTTACATTTTTTTCATTCTTAGGAATGTCTAAATTCATTTAAACTAGCAATTCCGTATTATATTTATAAATCTTTATAACATTATACAAAAATTAGATTTTTCTTAAAAACTGAAATTTTTAAGAATGAATGGAGCTTTAACGAATATTGTGTGGAGAGCACCGCCATGCGTCTCCGCAAAGACAAATGTAAAGACGGAGAGTGATCTATAGAGGCGCTTTACGCTCTTATTCGATTTGCATTATTACTAATTAGTTGGTATTACACAGTGTGGAAAACGCAACGTTACAAACACTTCATTTGGGTTCTTTGCGACACAAACCAGGATAATGGAATGGCCTATTGTAGCACTTAAACATAACATGGTGATAAACTTCGCTCAGTTAGGACTTGACGAGCCTTATGCAAAGATCGTATCCGATACTGCTCAGCAGACACCAAACCATTATTGGCGTCAAGAATGGGAGAATGAAACAGGAAAATCATTTACAACGTGTTCTAAGTTTCATTGCAGCGAAGATGCAACGGACGGAACCCATGTTTGTGTCCGAGGTTACACACAATTGCTTTTCTACTTTATAATCCCACTTTGTGAAGACCATAATAACTTTGAGGAAGGAAAAACAAATTGGTTCAGAATAGTTAAAGACACAACAGCTCTTGTAGTTAGCAGACCAAGAGCTTAAGAAAAACAAGGAACTTTTACACGGAGAATTACGCTTCAAAATCTCGCTGGCCAAGAATTAAGTTTGAATTTGACTAAAATGAATCAGATTTCTGTCTCGTAGTACTAATAGCTGGTGGATTTCTTTATTTATTTTTTTTTATCTTTCGACAATTTTGATTTTCTTAGCCCTGAACATACACCTTCAATAAAATTGTTAATAAACGTGACACGCCACTAGGCTTAATATGTACACTTCTTCATACGAATCAAGATCGTTTAATTTAAACATGCTGAAAAATAACATTAAAAGTAATCGACACATTATTGGCTAACATGAAGCAGTGCGGAAGAAACTACATAACAGAATGTCGACGCAACTTTTGAATATAATATTTCTATCTCTTCATCCGTTAATATTCATTAATGGTGTATAACTATTAATACTATAATATGAAATTATATATAGTCATTATCTATATCCATCTAACTTTTACCTACTACTATAACTAGTTATCGGGTTGAATTTGTATGTCTAACCGATATTTACTATTAGAATATAGACTATAAGTATATAGTTACTCGTAAATAAATATCAGTGGTTATCCAATTAAAACAACTTAAATCAAGTGGTTCATCATTCAAAGATGGTCGTTTTCGCAAAAAAAAAAAAAAATTAAAAAATTAAATTAAAAAAACCAAATAGATGGACGTGTCGGGGACATCAAATTAATAATTTTTTCAGTTATCTGATAGAATTTAATCAATTATTTAATTACTGAAAAAACTTGGCAAAAGACCGTAAAAATGGTATGATGTGTTTTAATTTTGTTTATGTTTCTTACTGTATACATATAGGACTGTTTAAATCGCTATGTTATCTATTTCCACCCCAGCTATAAACAAAATACTTGACTAAGCATTGTAAGTAAAATTAGCTTTGAGAGATGCTGTTCATAGTTTAGGCATAGGCCTATTTGCATACGTCGGTGTAGTTTGAGTGTAGAATTACCGCTGTCTTCACCATTAATTAATTATTATCACCATCATCATTAATGTATTATTATCATCAACAGCAACATCATCTTCTTCATCATCATCGTTGTTTTCATCATCATCATTATTATTATCATCAACATCATTATTATTATCATCAACATCATCTTATTCATCATCAACAACTATTATAATTACTATTCACAAGACTTTTTCTGATGCGAGTTATACAACGTACAAAAATATAACTGAACTCACAAATATCCTTACATACTTTTATTGAACTAATACACATTTGTAACATATACACATGCGTGTTGATATTTTTTTTACATTACCGGTATATCAATGTCCACTTTCAGAATCACTCAACAATAACATATTTCAGGAGTATTTTATACTACTACTAATAAAATCTAAATAATTTTATTAATACATTATTTTAATTGCAAGCAATAATAGTTACACATGTAGCACTTTGATGTATTGCGTCATATCATTGCACCACTTGGCTCATGTACTTTTACATAAATAATTTTCACAAGTTGATTAAAGATTTGTTTATCAAATGATCTGTAGAATACATCATAATATAATCATATACGTAATCTAAAACATAATAAATGCATCGACTGTTAACAATCGGCAAATATTGCGTTAGGCATATACTACTGCATTCAGTGTGTGGGTTATCCTTCCGCTGAATATACTTGACCACTTATGTTGCTCAGTATGTAAATTGGTGTTCTTGCGCCAGCTAGAAAAAGAAACATAATAAACATTCCTTTTTAATGATTGTCAACAAAAATTCGAAAAAATTATGGAGTGAACGTGAAACTAAACCATGTGAAAACATTTAAATAGATTTAAAATTTTAAAATACAAAAATTCATTCAAAAATTTGGGGGAAAAATGAAAACCATGGATACAAATTCATTTGTCGTATTGTTGACTTATTATTGGATATAATTGAATGTTGTTTTATACGTTTATCAATTATTACATTAATTTTAATTTAATTAAAGCTGAACTCACCGAAATTTTGCACCATTCTTATTCGTCTATCTTGATCATATACACGCATACGTCCAGTCATGTTGTTCAGGATCCTGGTTCTGTTAGCATTGAGAGGGCAGTGAAGCTTGCTGCTAAATTGTTCTGGAAATGAAGTTCTACATTTGTTGTGTGATACCAATTGTGGACTGCAACTGTCAGGCGAACAAGATCCGTTTAGCGAACTTCCCTGAATAAACTCATATTGTCCGGTTGTTGCAGAAGTCGATGGTGAAGTTTTCTGTCTTTTCACGCTTAGATCAAGTGGTTCATCATCCAAAGATTGTCGTTTTCGACTGTCATGAGATTTAGTAGAAAGATCCATTGGATACGAGACTGACTGAATTTTTGATTGGTTCACCGCATGCACAGAGTTCTCATAAGGCATTAGCATATGACGTGGGTATTCAACTTGATGATAAACAAAACTCACGGGACTCACTGCAGCTTGAGGTGATCTTGTCTTTTGATTGTTGTCAAATCTTACATTGGGTGGAGATTTAATTTTCACGCCTGATGAATCAACCATAAATTCCTGTACATATTGCTGATAACGTAGTTTTAAGTACTTCCAATCGTTCTCCATTCCTGACGACCTACAATGTTTACAATCTACATTCATAATCCAAAAGTTGTCCTTTCCTGAAGGCCTATCTGGACGACGCAAAACTTTTTGGAAACAATCGTTGATACTCAAAGTATGACGCACACTGTTCTTCCATCCTTCATAACCCCCACGAAGGCAACAAAAAGCTTTCGGCATGAAATTTATAATGTTCTGTAGCGTCATCATAGTATTGGGATTGGACACAATGGCAAAGGTTATCATCTCGATGTAAGAAAACGGAGACTTGATACGCCGCATGTAGTCTGGTCGTGGACGTTTTCGCTTATTGACTTTCGGTGTTTCGGTCGGTGATTCAATTATTTGTATTCCCTTTGTAACACATTCAACATCATCAGAATACTGAGGCTCCACCAGTTTAACAGAAACACTATCTGGAACAGCTTCATGAACGGTGGAGTCTGGCGAGGCAACCCAGTTCATATTACTCAATACTCCTGCCATATTCTACAACTTTTTCAAAAATGTATATTTGTCTGTTGTTTCCAAAGCTCAAAGTGGCTAATGAAGATGATAATAATTTTCACAGTTTATAAACACTAAGATTTGGAGCTCACCTTGTCGAAATGTGATGTGATTGGTCAACTGTGTAAAACAAAAGCTATTGTTTCAATCGTTACACAGTTTAGTATGTGTAACAAAGGACGCTACCAACGTGAATACAAAGGGAGTTTACTACTGTAGCGTTGGAGTCACATTAATTGTTTTTGAATATCTTTATTTCAATTGTGTAGTGTGTATGTGTGTGGGAAGCCACGCGCTTTTATCTATTATTGTTCATTACAATGTTTGATAACGTAATACATTTAAAGACAGAATAATGTGTTAAGTCTAACTGGTGGAAGAATGTGTTAAGTCTTTATTATTAAGTAATTTTGAAACGTGTCTGTTATATATTGGGTTAAAAATTGTGTAATTAGGAAACAGTGTTTTATGTAGTTTTCATTCCTGATGATGACATAATTAATGCCGAAATATTGAATCCCAAGGCGATGGCGTGTATTTCGATACTTGGAGTATGTATTATACTTTCTTGTGTTTTATGTAGGTCCAATAATGATTCCGAACAATTAACTGAAAAATTACATTCATTATTTTACCGAGGTCAATTGTTTTATGATCTTACTTTGGGATCATTTCTATAGTTTGTTATATGGAGAAGCAAACAAGTTGATCAAACCGCAAACCCACTGGAAATTGTTTTATAATATTTTTTAATTTATTATTATTTATTTTATTATCTTTTCCAAGGAAATTTTTATTTGAAGGGTATATTAACGAATGTATGACTTAAATTTAATTATATATATATATATATATAGTATATGATTTTATTTTACAGTATATACTATATATATATAT